TCGGATATAACATAGGACACATAAATTCACTGACAATCGTCAGATACAATAATCTCCCCGTCAAAAGGCATCATGTGAGCAAAAGATACAAGATGATGGTGACATATGTAACGAATAACTGGTCTGCAATATTGCTAATGCATTGTCATCAACAGATTTAGGGTCTCATTTAACACATATTAAGCCATACATCAACAGTTTAAAGGCTCAACTCATAAACACCAAAACACAATAGTCCCTAATATGTTGTGTCCACAAGGGAAGTGCATCTCTGATTAGGATTATGCAATGAACTACTAAGCTGAATAATCTGTCAGTGTACTGAAGTGTTTGTGACACACATTTCTATATCAAGTCATGTTACTGAAGAGACTGTGGCCTTTTGGAGACTAATGTGTGTTAAGCAATCATAGTGCATATTTTTCTATATCTGTCACGTCAAAATAAAACGGTGAAACTGGTTAAAACTGAAATCTCACTTCCATCGTTCTGTAAGTTGAAATTTTGACATTTTCAATGTATATACATATTTTTGCGAATGTTCACGGTTCACTTGTATGATGAGATTTCGATAAGTGTTTAACAAATTGCAAACTTATTATTCATTCCAAGAAACGATATACTTCCAATTGTGATGGGTGCATCGATAGAAGAATATGAAAGAGTCGCTCCTCCATACTCATTTATTCACGTTGATCAATTCGAATCACCAGGGAGACTGGCAGACTATTTGAAGTATTTGGACACGAACGATACTGCATATAATGAATATTTTGCATGGCATGGTCATGGAATCATACATGATCGGGATTCACAACCTCAATGTGCAATGTGTCTGCTAGCTCATACACTTTGTGTTTTCCACTTGTATTAGATGCCAAAAGTTCTTGGCAGCTTGAAAATCTCGCATTAAATTTGGAAATTTGAATGAAATATAATAAACTAACAATCTTGAATTAGATTGAAATGAGGAGTCAACTGAAGCTAGAACTCTATGGAAAACCTTGAAGTACTGGATGACCGTTTCGTCCTAATATGGGACTCTTCAGGAATGCGCATCCACGAATTCGCACTCCACGAGATTCGAACCCAGGACCTATCAGTTACCAGTGGAGTTCAACCAGTTCTGTTGTGAGATGTCAACTCACTGAAGAAAATGGTGTACGGTGGCGCAACTACGTGGACTGGTTGAAGTTAGACAATAACACCATTGCGTAATGGCTAAGTAGTCTAGTTGGTTAAGCGCTTGGCGCGAGACTGATAGATCCTGGGTTGGAATCTCGTGAGGCGAGGTCGTGGACACACACTGGTGAGGAGTCCCATACTAGGACGAAACGGCCGTCCAATGCTTCCACGTATTCCATGGTAGTCTAGCTCCAATTAACTCATGAATTTGGCGAAACTTATCTAAATAGATATTCAAACTAACACCAAACATTACACCATCACCTCAATCTCATTGAATGTTTTACAGAAATATGAAACAGAGCTGAATATAATTACAGATTATAAAATAAATGAAGATTGTTAGTTTATTCTATTTCATTCAGTTTATAGAATGGAATGTGAAACCAATGAAAAAACATTAAAGCGGAGGAATGTATTTGTAAAACAAAAAGAACTTCATCTTCTCAAAAAGTGCAAAACAGCAATGAAATACAAAGAGTTCAAATGTGTGTACAGCTTGTGATTAGATAGATTATGTGGAACATACATAGTTTCATTCGTTTTGTATAATGAGCTAGTATTGTTTACATTGCAAATGAAAATCAATAATTCCCTGACCTACATATAGAAGAATGTGATAATTAGGAGTAGTTGAATTATAGTACAAATTAGGAATCCTAGAAATCAGTCAATTTACTCAAGAGGTACTAGATAAACACGAACGAATCAATTGTATTTGGAATTTGAAATTAAGCAATGAACAAGTACAAAGGAATCATAAGTTCATATAAATACCACACAGCTTTATATAAAAATCCAAATTTCTGTGATCAATTCTACCTCCTTAGGTTCATTGTTTTATCCGACTGTGTATTTCATGTAGACTATGTATTATCTAGCTGATGTCAGTTCGTGATGTATTATCTAGAATATGCTCATGAGTATTAGAATTAACAACTGAAATTAGAATGGACTCAACTGGATCCTGCAATCGTATACAATCACTATGTCCATTGTGTACTGAAATCACTGATAACTAGAATTTGAACCAAAGATTTTCCCACACTATCCTCCAACACGAAATAATGTTGGATCTTCGTATCCCCAAGTTATGAATGATATGGCTTCATTTAAAACTTATCAGATAAGCACGAACGAACACTGACTAGAGTATTCATTGGAAGTGACTTTACGATAAGGATAAATAACAGTTGATATGAAATCATCCAAATCGATCCCATTTAGTACTCATGCTTTGCATTGAACAAATATGATATGATATGACATCAGGATTTGATTCTTCTGTAATGTTTTCCTCAACTTTATTAAGAATGTTATTACAGAATAAAGGATCATTAGAAAAATTAGCATCTATTAAAAGTACATCAGGTTTTTGATCATGATTAGGTTCACTCAATATATTTTTCTCAGATTTATAAGGAATTTCGTCAGAAATATGTGAATCATTACGACAAACCATATCTGGTACAGTAATGTGAGAAATCTCATAAGTTGATTGATTAGTAACTATTGTCTCACAAGGATTCTGAGTTTCGTCTAACTCTGGTCTGTTATGTGACTCTATACCGCTTTTCGAAGTCGTGGATAAAGATAAATGATCATTAGAAACACCCACCTTAATAGGGTCACGATCACAAATCTTAGCATTAGTTGCAGTGGAATGAACCCTACTATTGCAAACTGACTGAATGTATCCAATCTTATCACATTTAAAGCATTTAAAATTACGAAATTTACATGAAAATGAGTGAAACCTGCCAGAGGACAAACATTAACCAAACATGCATCGCAAATCACTCATCTTCTGCTGCCAGATATTACATTCCTGTCTCGCATAATATACTACTTATATCAATATAAGTAGCACGTACCACAATACTACATCAAATGAAAACATTACTAACTGGGAGAATTATAACAGCTAGTAACCACTGAGAGATTAATCAAACTACGAATCAAATGCGTTAGTTTGTTTAATGACTCGATAATAGCCTGGACATTTATCATGTGAACAATGATGTCACATATTGCATTCTGATTTAAACAGAGAGATTCTATGATTAGATTATAAACAAACTTTCACGGTATCATCATCATCATCATCAAGGAAGTCGAGTTCAAATAGCATAAGTAAGGTATTTGAAAAACGTGTAAGCAATGATGTTACTAAATGTGGTTTTATATTATTTGTAGCTGACAGGAAGTCTCGAAATGAACTGAAAATCCTGTTTTTCCCACTTTTTTCTGTGATCATGTCAAATAACCAGGAATTTTGAAATATTTAGTTTAGTTAAACTACTTTTTATAATTAGTGAATAAATTTTATTAAATTAAAACTATGTGTGTTATATTAAACTACTGAATGAAAGATTCTGACCTTCTGCCACCTCCCAACTAACTTCAGGTGAATCAGTAGTATCCTTTAAATTCTCATCTGTCATTGTGTCGACATTCTGCTTAGAATCATCAAAATCATTTGATGCATCTGTTTCGTTCAATTCATAGTAATTTAAAAGTGTTTGTATATTTTCTAGATCTGGACTAATTTTCAATTATCAGAATGGGTTTTGTGGAGATTTTTATAAATTTCACTGATTGATATCATGAGCCAATTGAAGCTAAACCACCACTGGAAACCTAAAAGCACTGGACGGCCCTTTCGTCCTAGTATAGGACTCCTCAGTGGCAGCGCGCATCCAGAATTATCACAGTTATTTAATTTGTGAAACTTTTGCATCTGTAACAAACGTGAAACACAAGCCTTTAAATTGTTTCATTTTATCAAACAATAACTTTTATCCTTCTTTTAGTGAAGTATACTAAGTGAAATAATATTTTGAAGTATTCTAAGTATATGATTAGATTATAAACAAACTTTCACGTTAGATGGTGGTTGGAGGTAGTCGGCAGGAAACTCTGGACCCGAGTTTCGTGCTACTTGGCACTCGTCATCAAGGTGTATCTGTAATCTTGAGGAAACTGATGCTCTCTGGAGGATTCGATGTCGTGTCAACCAGCTTCACAGTCAGAGACGTTATCACTGAGCTATCCGAGCAGCGACTTTCATGTTATCATCATCATCATCAAGGAAGTCGAGTTCAAATAGCATAAGTAAGGTATTTGAAAAACGTGTAAGCAATGATGTTACTAAATGTGGTTTTATATTATTTGTGGCTGATAGAAAGTCTTGAAATGAACTGAAAATCCTGTTTTTCCCACTTTTTTCTGTGATCATGTCAAATAACCAGGAATTTTGAAATATTTAGTTTAGTTAAACTACTTTTTATAATTAGTGAATAAATTTTATTAAATTAAAACTATGTGTGTTATATTAAACTACTGAATGAAAGATTCTGACCTTCTGCCACCTCCCAACTAACTTCAGGTGAATCAGTAGTATCCTTTAAATTCTCATCTGTCATTGTGTCGACATTCTGCTTAGAATCATCAAAATCATTTGATGCATCTGTTTCGTTCAATTCATAGTAATTTAAAAGTGTTTGTATATTTTCTAGATCTGGACTGTGAACAATATTCACACAGCTTATTGGCACATTCAGCATATTTTCTTCGATCTCAGCGAGTTCAAACTAAAATAAATTAAGAAAGTATATGTAACATGCTGATAAATGATGGAGCCAAAGTGCGCGGGCATATATATTCTAGACTGAAGAAAGTAATATGAGAGAGATGTCTGGCCTTCTTAATGAGCTTTTGGTAAAAGTTAAATATTCTAAAGACACATTGTGAAATGTGAAACATAGTAAACTTAAAGTCTTAAATTGTGAATGTGTATTAAAATTTAGATTCCATCTGTTATTCTTTAAAAGAGAATGAGATTTAAGAAACCACTATCAAAACGTTGCTTAACTGCGGTGATCGAACGAGAACCGGTGCTTCCAACGTGGTATGGCCGTTGGCTTTTTTTATCTAACCAGCAATACATCCTCTGCCAGGGAAGTCTTACTCACCACCTTCTCGTGGCCATAGTGTTGTTTACGAAAATGAGAGAACGAAATGCGAATGTCCGGCGCTTTAACCGGGTTCCAAACTAATGGTGCACATGGGCTCCAGGATCCAGAAGGAACAAATGGCGTATGAACCAATTGTTGGTCACCGGCTACCATGCGACTGCATCTCCCTACGTTGATATACTGTCTTGTGAATCAGACCTTCAGGTCGAAGGCTAAGGGGGTGGCCCCCTAAGAAAACCACCTGCATCTGTTTAAGCACCCGGGCAGTATCACAACCCCTCACACATGTCGAACGAGATTTGTGTGGCACATATGTATTTGGCGCCTCCTTGTACCAATATCTATGTGTTAAAATAAATAAAATAATAAACTATCAAAATGACTAAGGTAACATTGAATTAGTGCTTATGCTTCATTGAAATATTATTCAATGCATAACGTCATTAGTTCACTTGCCTGGTCTAAAATATGTCAATTTTGTCAGTCGAAAATCTAAAGTTCTATACATTTATGGAACCAAAAGTATTAACATGACTAGAACAATTGCTCATATAGTTCACTAAGAGTGTAATGCTTTGGAATGTTAACCTTATATAATTATAGGCAATGTATGTTTATGGTTATTATGTCACATAAGCAATACTGACTCGATGATTCTCCCCACCTTTCACCGAGCTGAATATACACAATAACTGATCACTTACTATACAAGTCATAGAACATTATTATGATGAAACCCCGAACATTATACTTCAGCTTGTCTACCCCCTTCCCTTGAGAAATACACCACCCACTTCTTAATATAATCTTGAGGAGAACATCATCTTATCATAGTTAAAGACTAAAAAGAACTCAAGATTTTGTGCATTCTAACAGTAATTCACTAGTGGTTGATACTTTGTATTGCGTTCCAAAAATGTTTCAAAACATACAGTAGCTATTTGAGCACTTTTCAAGTTTGACTCTAATCTTTACTTGTATAAGAGCCTTCACATTAAACTTGTCGCATGATATTACTCAAACGCTTATTTCCAAGTATCTTTGACTTTAGCTATTAAAAGTGAATGCAATAAGTGTCGATTTGAAATAGAGAAAATCGTCCATTTCCTTAATCAGTAATTTACAACACTTTGAAATGGTATCAAATTGAACTAGACATTGACAAAAGCTTTTCTGAGTTTCATTTCATGCCACCATCTAAATAGACAAAAGCAATTTCTTTACCAAAATTTAATATTCAACGGATGTATTACTGATAACATAGCTGAAGATGGTTGTGCCTATTATCTTTGTAAATCGTCTTAAAAATCTACAGCTAGGTTAAAAAGTTCAATGTTTTATTGATTACTGGAGATAGATGATTTGGATATTTGTATTTATTTCATCAGTATAACCTTTTAAGCAAATATTTGTTTCTGGATAACAAGTGAGAAATAGTGACCAGTGGAGTTCAATCAGGTCTGTTGTGAAGACAATGGTGGATGTGTCGCTCGATTTCATGGATTAATTGAAGTTAAACATTAACAGTGTTAGAAGTCGGCTCAGTGGTCTAGTTGTTGAGTGCTCGCGCTCGAAACGAGTAGATGCTGGGTTCGAATCTCACAGGGGGCGAGGCCGTGGATGCGCACTGCTGAGGGGTCCCGTAATAGAACGAAACGGCGGTCCAGTGCTTCCAGGTCTAGCTTCAACTGACTCATGATCTTAACCATTGAATATTAAACGTTTTAAATGTGACATCTAAGCAAACCTTTGTAAGTTGTTTAACTTTTTCATATCTGCTGATTTGTGGCAAAGTATTCCGTTCCAAGACATTTAATCGATCAATTAATATTTGTGTTTCCTTGATAGAATCACCCATATCTAAACATTCCACTTCTGCTGAATGAAGTACCAGCCAATGTTCCAAAGAATCTGCGACACTTGATAAGAAAAATAACAAATACATGTACGCAAATGATCACATGATAATCGAAATTAGTAAATAGACTGAACAGTTGTACTATTTCTTCCTATGACTGATGAACGAATAGTTAGAAAACGAAGCAAAAATAATATATATGTAACTATCACACCATAAAATGAGATAAAATAGTTCAACTTTCAGAGTTAGATAAATGCATATAGGCCACTTGGATTATGAGCTGACGTTTGAAATGTTGAATCGATGAATCAGTTTAGTTGACTTAAATTATAGATGATTTCAACCTTCTTCACTATCTAAGGCTTATTTCTCAGTTCATTATTTGATTGATTATGTTCATACTATTTGCCAATAGAAGTATTAAGTAGTCATTGATCTCAATACATCTGAAATATTTTCAGTATAAAGTTAAACCTCTGTCACTTTAAAAGCATTACAATTTGACTGATTACATTGATAACCGATTCGTTAAGAAATATGAACCTCTGATTAATGAATTAATTATGCGTGTATAATAAGGAGGACCGCAATAACATACCAAAAACAAGTGTAAACTCCTCCCAGGTCTTCATTAGCATCCTGATTTACATAGAATTTGATAGGCTGAATTATAGAAGTTTAAAAAGCTAAAACTTTGAAAATATCTTTGTGAAAAAGCTCGAATCATAGGCGTTGATTTCCGAGATTAGCCACATACGTTATTCGAAATGATTAAACCAGTGACAGACAGGTTAGTTGCGAAAAAACGCCAGTAGTAGAAACCCTTTGAAATGTATCTGTTTAAATGGATGACTAAGTTCAAGATCAAGAGTATTTCTTGTGAATTGTCTTACAGACCGATCAAATGGTTGTGTAAAATAACGAAACCATTCATTGAATGATCAAATTTCAATAGTATAAGAAGTCAATTAGTGATCAGTTATCATTTAACTAACCTTGCAAATTCATTAATACTAAGTTGTAATTCTAGTCGTTCATATATTTGATGCCATTTCTTGTGCAAATTATACCATGATGTTACTAATCGTGTCATACGTAACTGAAGATCTGTTATTATTTGGTCTTCTTCATTGCTCATATCACTCTCATTTTGTAAATCCAGTTGATTTAATGCCATAGATGATGAATCTGACATTTGACTGTAATTTGCATTTAACCTCATAGATTCAAGGTGAGGATCAGAGGAAATTGATCTAACTGTTGCGATTCGACTGTGTTGTTCAGCTTTTTCTATAATACAATCCTTGTCAGTAATATTCACATTTTGTAAGGTATTATTCCGTAACTTTTTCCGCTGTTCACTGATCTTACAAATTTGTATTTCATCAGTTGGATTATTAGTTCCATGTTGTTTTCTCATTTCTATTTTCGAATATAACTGGGACATTTCGTATGGCTGATGGCACTTTTCATAACTTGACTTATCATATTGCATCAAATGTTGTTTGAATGAAGCTTTCAGTCTTTTACCTTCTTCTAAATATGACTTGACTTTGTCATCTCTAGCATTTAGTTCGGCTCGCAACTGAAATGCTTGACCAATGGCAAATTTTATATTCTCAGTTGTACTGAAATATAAAAAGGACAATGTTTTATAAACTTTCGGTCATTTAGAGTAAAAACATTGGTAAATAATTATGGGAAATATTTGAAATATAAAAGTAAACATAAAACCTTGTTAAATTCACCGATGAGCAGACTTAGCAACGAAATTGGACCTTGTTACTTATGCAAAATAAAAAAAAAACGATCTAAGTATGGGACTTTTAAGGTTCTTTTGTTACTATGGTGACTAATTCATGCAGAACAACTTGAAAACCAACTGATGTATTTTGTGAAGCTTAAAGATTTCATCTTTCAGCAAACAGCAAGTCTGAATTTGCTCATGTACCGAAGTTAGTCATTTTTTTACTTCAATGAATTTGAAAGTTGTAACTTAACCTTCATGGCATCGTGAAAATAACATTTCGCAGATAGAAAAGTAGTTAGTTTCTTTTCTATAATTAGGCACCAACATAACGAGTTATTATTTGTTTTGTCGTAATCATGATACTACTGTAGTGAACGAAACAAAATTACAGAATATCTTAGTGAAATCTGAGAACCATACAATGTCAATCAATTGTCTAAAACTTGACTGTTCCATTTGCAAATATCAGTCGGCTGTTTCAGACTTCATTGTTCCTGCATGTACATACCAATTGCCTTATGTTCCCGTTCTTTCCTTCTTGATCTTCTTGAGATCCTGCTGCCAGACATCTCATTCCTAATTAACGTTATATACTACTTATATTGATACAAGTAGCACGAACCACACTACATTCCAGTGCTGTTTTAAAAATTATGTTTTTTAAAGGCACGTAGTTAGTTTCTTAAAAGAGACTTAGAAGAAATGCTATTGAACAAACCACTGACATTGATAACTCGCTAGACATGGTTGGACTTCGTGAAAATGCTTTATATTTATTACTTAACCTTATACAGGCTCTCTACTCGAACACAACTGGAAGAGTGAGAACTTATGGCGAACTGTCATCAGAATTGATTACCTCAAATGGTGTTCGTCAGAGCTATCCACTCTCTCCATTCTTGCTCGACTTTGTCGTCGACGTACTTTTAGAGATAACACTTTCCTCGTCTAGATTTCCAGGGGTCGAACTTCTACCAGGAGGTTCATTTGTTGACTTAGAATATGCTGATGACATAGTTTTATTTGGTGAAGACGCTGACAAAATGCAGAGTCTTATGACCACTCTAAGCAACAATGCAAGCATGTTCGGGATGCGATTCTCCCCGTCGAAATGCAAAATGTTGCTTCAGGATTGGGTTGCATTGACACCCGAACTAATGGTAGGGAGAGAAGTCGATCGCTTCACTTATCTTGGAAGTCTCATCAGTCCTTGTGATCTGGTGTGTGACGAAGTCTCAGCACGAATACAGAAGGCTCGACTAGCTTTTACCAACTTGCATCATTTATGGCGTAGGTGAGATATCCGTCTATCAACCAAAGGACATGTTTACTGCTCAGCAGTTCGTTCCATCCTACTTTATGGCAGTGAAACATGGCCGGTAAGAGTAGAGGATATTCGTAGGTTACTAGTATTTGATCATAGGTGTCTTCGAAACATTGCTCGTATATCCTGGGACAATCGAGTAAGTAAAGCAGTTGTTAGGAAACGGGTACTAGGTGAGGATGGCAAATCAATTGGTGACGTAGTGAAACTTCATCAGTTGAGATGGCTGGGAGACGTGTTACGTATGCCCAACGACCGACTGCCTCGACGTACGATGCTCAATGGTATAGGAGTAAGTTGTAAGAGAGCTAGGGGTGGCCAGACCGAAACATGGCACAAATCCATTAAGTTACTGATAAGTGGACTGAGTTATGTTGGTAGGTGTAGACTACCTAGTTGGGATCCGCGAGACGATAGCAACTGATGGTTAGAGACCTTGAATTACATGGCTCAAAATTGTTTGCAATGGCGCAGGTACATACACTCTTTGTGTTCTCCCAAATTCCAATCTCCTTATTCCTCCTTGTCTCTTTTTTTTCTCTTCCCAAATTTATTTCACTGTATTATACTCTTTAAATAACACACTGCTTATACTCTTATTACCTCTACCATTACGGGATTTGAATCGACCACTGCATCTCTGTGCTAATGTAGTGTGGATACTCGAACTGATGTTTCTTGTGGGAAACTGGTTCAATGCGAAGCACGAGTACTAAATGAGTTCGATTTTGATAACAATTCGGATAATTTCACATTAACTGCTGTTTACCCTTATCACAAAAACAGTTCTAATGTTTACTCTAAACAATGTGCGAAATATGTTTTAAATGAAGCCACATCATTTATAACTTGGGGATATAAAGATACAACATTATTTCGTGGGGGAGGATAGTGTTGAAAAATATGTGGTTCGAATTCTAGATATTAATGATTTCATTACAAAACCGACATGCTGATTGTATACAATTCCAGGTGAGTCTGTTCCGATTTCGTTTGTTAATTCCAATACTAATGAGCACATTCTAAATACTACAAAGTTTTTATCCAATACAGTGTCGGACAGACTCAGGATGAACATAACAATAAGACGTACAACCGATTACAAACACTAATACCCCTATTTAAGCTGTGGCGGATGTGCTGTTTGAATGAAATAATGACACCACTGTACTTGTTGAATGCTTGATTTTGAATTCTAAATACAATACACTCGTTAGGGCTTGTCTAGTACCTCTTGATTCAATTGCGTTATTTCGGGTATTCTTAGTTCATGCTACAATTCAAATACTACGAACTATCATACGCATTCACGACCCCACCTCGCGGGATTCGAACACAGGACCTATCAGTCTCGCCCCATGCCTTTAACTAAATAGACCACTGAGCCGGTATCCAACGATGTCTAACTTCAACTAACTACTTGATTTTTAATCGCTGAGATTATTTCAGATATAATTTTCACATATAATGACTTCTCTATACTCAGCGCCCGATTTCGGTCAAACTATTCGTTCTAACCTTGACGAATATTCGTACAAACTGCATTCAAATATGCAACTTGATTATGATATTCAACTGTTTTCGAAAAACACGTTCTGTCTTTGAACAATTCGATACTCCCATTGCTATTCAGTTTCCACTTAGAAATTCATTTCTCATTACCAAATCCTGTATCTCCAGTTACAATCGTTTATTAAGACCACAGAAACCGTTTCATTAGTAAAAGTGTTTGATAAATAAATCACTAACTAATCACATGTAACAATTTTAACTCCACTGAATAAGAAAAGAATCAAAAGGGACACTGTCTAATGACTTTCAGTGCAACTATCTCATTGTTTCTTCTCTATTTCTATGAAGTGAAACGATGATCTCGTCACTCAAATATTTTGCTTCATTCTATGCTTGATCTTCTCCTTCTAACCCACTGTGACCTTTTCTTGAAGTTGGGGAATTACAGATTGTTCATTTCAAGTCTACGTTCTAAACATAAGTGAGATATACGCGATTTATATAGAACCTGACTAGACCACATCATACCTTATAATATAAAATAAGTATTATACAGGTCAGGTGAGAATAGGGAGACTGTAACTACTAGATTGAGAATAAATAAAGAATAGTAAACCGTATAATAGTTGTCAAAAGAATTTAGTCAATTCTTAATCGTTAATCAATCAGCTTTATAGATCTCAGTTTCACTGAAGATTTATCGTCCAAATATTGAACGAGGCTTCTGTTTATAAAACTGATTGTCACCATTATCTATGTCTGGTCTGTCTACAAGAGGAGATGGAAGTGTAAACAATTCTATATCTACAAACAGTTCATTTCGTTCACTTAATGATTATGTAAGCTGTTGTTGTATGGCAACGTATACTGAAGTAAATGGGAATATTTGAAACTTCCATGAAATATAGTTATTAATATTACTGTTGTGGTGTGTGCTACTTATATCGACATAAGTAGTATATGACATTACTCGTGAACGAAATGACTGGCAGCAGAGAGACAAGAGGATCGAACAGTAAGGAATGGAAGCAGAACGCAATTTGTATGAAAATTGTACATCGTATAATAATAGTAAATAGAATTCAGTCAATACCTGGAAGGCTTGAAAAACATGATGTAAAACGTTAATCGTTAATCAATCAGTTTTAAATATCTTAGTTTCACTGAAGATCATCCGTCACTCGAATATCTCGATAGTGAAGTATGAAAATATGTAGCTGGATGTTATTGAAAGAACCAGTCCTCCCAAATATTACAAGTGGGCCCTGATGATGAGTGTTAGCCAGTATGAAACTTGGTTCAAGAATAGTTTTCTATTTACTAAGTTCAACCAGCTAACAACTCAACCACTTGCACTAGTGGTCATATTGAAACTTGATCTAGAATATTCGATCATCACTAAAGAATGAGTTGAGCATAGCTTTGCTTACTACTCAATCATCAGTCAGAAGTGTAATCCTACCTTGTTAAAATAATCTATTGAAATCTACTGAAAGAATAATTAAATTAAACATGAATTCGTGTTGGTTATTTTGCAGAACTCATCAGATCGTTATGTATGACTTCATTCATTAAGTCTACTTGATCATTCCATAGTTTGGCTTGGATTCATTTTATGATTCTGTTTATCTTATTTATACAGATTTACATACTCTTAATTGTATGATTTGATTAATGAAGCATACACTATGTAAATGTAATGAGTATGAATAAAGGAATTTCATGAAAACGACTGAACCAAATACATTTTCCTGTTCGAACATTCCCTTATCAAGTGTTTGTAACCATTTTTATAGTTGTGCATATGTAACCTGTTATTACTATGACTACGATCATGTACATAGTGTGATGTTTGTATGAACTAATGATTGTATTGTGCTGGATGACTGCCTGATTTCGAATTCCGAATACAACACGTTCGTCTGTCCTCACCTAGTTGTATTTGGTTTAAATTGCGTTATTCCGCGGATTCCCAATTAGAAGCATAATGCAACAACTTCATATTATTACATGACCATTGCACCATGGGACGAATTCGAGTAAGTAGACCGAACCAAATACATTTTTCCGTTGGAACATTTCATTTCAACCAAGTGTGTGTAACCATTTCCATAGTTGTGCATTTGTGATCCGTTATTACTAAGACTACGATCATGTA